CTTCTCATGAGAATTCTGGAAGCTTCCTTTATTTGATCTGGTGATTTGCTGCACACTCTCTCTGCTCCACCTTCCTGTTGACAAGCCACATGGAGCCACGCTGAGGGCAGTCAGAGCCTGGAGATGCATCCACCAGCATTGGATCCACACTACTTTGGACCCACTGGCCTGTGATCTTCTTGCATTTTGAATCATTCCATGTGAGTCTGAAGAGTGATTTATGAATTAGTATCAGACTTATGGGCTAATATCAGGCTTATGGACTTGATCTGGACTGGGCTGTGATGTTTTCTTCATATGCAATTACTCTTTGATATAAAGCTCTCTCTTACACATATGTGAATGTCTCTGGATTTGTTCCTCAAGTCAACCAAGTCTAACACGCTTGGTACCTAAATATACTGAGTCCTAATTCAGGCACAGCCTTAAATCTCTCTGTGATTCAGAGACATACTATTATTATTTGAATTCTCACAAGGAGGCGCACACAATTTTCATTCAAAATAGAGAATTTGCAAAGAAACTTCTGAAAGCGTAGTCTGTGTATATCTTACTACACTATTTACTATATGATTCACATCAATGTATAACATGTCTAAAACTTCAGTTACTCTAATTGCAAATAACTAAATGGAGGATGATAGTAATATCTACTTCACAGAGTTAACTGAATTACTTGCTGTCAAACAATGCTTCACATTGGAAGTACTCCTATAATAATGTTATGATGCTCTATTTTATAAGTCTAGCAGCAAGAATAGTACATGGAAATAGATATAAATGTATTTTATTTTGAAAGGCCAGCCCAAGCTGACCGATTCATATATTTAAGGAAGGTTTGGAAGAGAATACTAAATATGTAAAATAAAACGTGAACTCTGTAAAAATATATTTCAGATGGTTTCAAATCCAACTAACCTAAGAATGTTATCTGTCAGTCCCCTGCCACCCCCACCCCACCCCCCACCGGTTTTCTTAATAGAAGTAGCAAAGCATAACATTTGGACATTTAAGATACAGTTAATGGTGTCTTCCTAAAGGTGTTAACTCTGTTGGATATCTGGTCTGTTGGTAAAGGTGTAAGAAAATAAAATATCATGACTTCTTAAGTACTGTACTGTAACTCGGTAGCTGAATATGTCTTGTTTGGTTAAAGGGACCATGATGCTAAAAAGTCGAGGCCATTCACAATGGAATGAAGCACTGCCCTGTCTTGCATTACCCATGATTGGTTGTGGATTGTACTGTTATGACCCATAAGGTTTTCATTGATTTTTGGGAATTGCAATAAGCATAAATTAAAAATTAGACACTAGAGACAGTGAGCTAGAAAAAAACAAACCAAAAGAAATAGTT